ATGTCCTACTCATGCTACATGTCCTACTCATGCTACATGTCCTACTCATGCTACATGTCCGTATGGAATCAGTTTATCCATCAGCCATCAGTGGGCATTGTGGCTCTGTAAAATAAAAGTGAATTAGGATTATCGCTTTTGTTTCCATTTATTCTGAGAAGTTTGTAGAGTACAAGAGCAGGCTAAAGTACGTAGAGTCATAGAGTCATATAGCACAGAAACAGACCCTTCGGTCCAACCAGTCCATGCCGAACGTAGTCCCAAACTAAACTAATCCCACCTGCTTATCCAAATGTCTTTTAAACATTGTAATTGTACCTGCATGCACCACTTCCTCAGGAAGTTCATTCCACATGCGAACCACTCTCTGTGTAAAAACTTTGCCTCTCATGTCTTTTTAAAATCTCTTTCCTCTCTAAATGAACCAGATGTATTTTTTTTCCCTGACAAACAACCATGGTTTCATGGTCATCATTCCAGATTTCCTTTATTGCATTTCAAATTCCAGCATTTGCCAATGATTCCTAATATCTCGGCTTCAGGGATTAAGTTATGAGGAGTGATTATATGAATTATGTCTATTTTCTGTAGAATTCAGAAGTTTGAGGAGCGATCTGAATAAAGTCATCAAGCTATTAACACAAAAAGACATGCTAGATAAAGACAAACTATTTTCACTTGTTGGGGATTCTAGAACTAGAGGGTGTTGTCTGTGAATTAGGGCCAAACCATTCAGGAGAGATGTTAGGAGAAAGTACTTCTACATACAAAGGGTAGTTGATGTTTGGAACTCTCTTCCACAAACAGCAGTGGATGCTCAATCAGTTGTTAGTTCTAAATCGGAGAAGGGCGACAATTTTGTTAAGCAAAACTATTCAGGGATATGGGCCAGATGAGCCATGATCTCAGGCTCGAGGGTTTGCATGACCTACTCCTCTTCCTAAATTCATGTAGCTATGCTGTTTGATTCTAACAGTCGTAAGTGTGAAGCTCCTTTTTTGTACTGTCTCTTCCCTGTGTGCATAAGTGTCCATGTTTGTGTGTTTGAACTAATGGTTCCCACTAAGATTGCATTTCAGGCAGGGGTGATAACGCCATCCAATCTATCACTAAACATGTGACTCAGTCATTCTAACCAGGAGGCTGCGGGAGATTTTATCCCCAGTCTGCTAAGATTAGCCGCTCTCTCAGGGTTGAACTTTGATCCTACATTCCTGGATAGGCCAGGGGATTACTCCTTTACTGCAACAATTGCATCCCTTCCTTCTCATGAGCATGCCGGTTTCCATTCCTTCCAGTCTCTCTCTCCATCACGGCATCTGTTCTCCTTGCTCTTCCTTTACAGAGTACCACCACCCACTGCAACTAAAACAACATAAAAGCAAGTTACTACAGATGCTGGAAATCTGAAATGAAAACAGAAAATGCTTGACCCAGGAGGTCAGGCAGCATTTTCAGAGAGAAACCGATAATGCTTAACGTTGATGATTCTTCATCAGAATTGAGAAAAGAGTTCAGCTGAAGGGTCATTTGAGCTGCAGTGTTAACTGTGTTTCTCTCCACAATAAGTTCCATCTGCAATAAGTTCCTTCCTGTCACAGTGCCATCTCCCACTGCTGCCACTCCATGTCACATCTCCATGCTGATGTTCTGAGCTAAAACACCCACAGCTGTTTCTAACTCTGAGGCATTTCTGTTTCTTACAAAAGAGAAAAAATCTAAAATCACTTTCTTAAAAAACACTTTCTGTGGAAATGGAGCAGGAGGGGGGAAAGCAAAAATGGGCTAAGAAAAATAAAGGAACGCATAAAAGGGTACATTTCCCTGGGTGAAAGCAATTAATACAAAGACAGGTTAGAATACTGAGAGGATGGAAAAATAGTTAACAAAGCAAATGCACCATTGCAAACAGCCTGTTTTCTGAGCTTTCAGACAAAAGTGCATACTTTACAAAACTGCTTCAGCATAGAATGCAATGCAATGTCATAATGAACAAATAGCTATTATTTTACAGATGCTATTCCTTTAAATTTAGACTGAACAATTTAACATTCATTTTGTTCCTCTTGTTTACTGTTCCAGCGGAGAGTTTATAATATTACAGTTTTTAACAATATTGTTATAAAGAAAGGCTGGATAGGTTGGGACATTTTTCACTGGA